AGGGGGAGGAAGGAGGAAGCAGTGGGTGGCAGGAGGACGCAGGGGAGAGAGGAGGAGGGAGGAGGAGGTGGGGAGGCAGGTGGGAGACCCTGGCTGGGGCGCTGGGCATCTGGACTGGGGGTATCAGGCCCTTGTCCCCTCTTCTCTGTGGGGGCTGCTGTGGTCTGGAGCGATGGCACGTGTCCCGCAGGCACAGGGGACACATAGGTGCTTAGTGGTGGGCATGGGCCCCTTCTCGCTGACCCATGAAGCTCCTGGGCTCGGATCCTCACACCTGTCCTGGGAGCAGCACCAGCCTGGCTGTCCCCCAGCCGTGGGGTCCAGCCCCATTGAGCTTCCCCGGAAGCAGAGGGCTCTGTCGGCTGTGTGGTGCCCGTCCCCACGCCCTGTGCAGGCCCCCTGGAGCCCGAGTGTCCAGCACACCCCACATGTCACCCCCACTTCCAGACTCTTCCCCACTGGTCCCCACTCAGCGCATGTCGCCACCTGCATGCCTCCTACCCCCCCACCCCCACCTGGTGTCTCCACAAGGGCTGCGGGAGGAAGATGTGGAGCTTTGGTTTATTTTCATAGTTGTTAAATTTTCTCTTAGCGTTTGTATTAAGGTGTGTGCAACTCAAGTACTGCCATCTGTGATCATAAAAACACGTGTGTCTATCAGGTGCATGATGCACACGGGTCCCTGGCCTGGCGGGGGTTGGAGGGGGTTTCGGGTGTGAAGATGTGGCAGGAAGGAGACGGGAGGCGGGACAGGCGCTCCCACGGTGCGGGTGCAGCCGGGTGGGAAGACCCCAGCCCAGCACCCACCACGCTGACAGCCAACTCAGGCCGAGCTCGTGGATACTCAGGAGAAGGCAGGGAGGAGAGCTGTGTGACCCGGGCATGCACTTGTCCTTTGGCCGTCACCGTCACTGTGGGCCACATGGTTCTGCTCTTTCTGGAGGGTTCCTCAGAGTGGGCAGCAAGGGCCGTGGACACAGTGGGGTTTGGGAGGGTGGGTGATAAGCCGGCCGCCCCTGTCCCTCCTCTCCAGGCTGCTTGTCTCCTGACCTGCCCCCATGTTCTGGACCTGGGCAGGTGGACGTGCTGTGTGCAGCCGGTCCCTGTCCATCCACCCCCGAGTCTGTCCTGCTGTGCCATCCTGGGTCTGCTACCCGGGTGGGGGCGACCCTGCCTCTCTCCCGTTACCCCATCCTGACCACCGTGAGTTCCTTTATTGGTGTGTTGTCACGTCCATTTAGCTGAACTTGGGGACACACCCGGGGAGGAGGCACACGTGGGGCAGACGTGTCGGCTGCAGGCACCCTGGGTTTGGGAACGGGGGTCATGGAAGTGGGGGCTCTGCGGAGGAAGAGCCATAGATCTGGGTCCTGGAGGATGTGGTCTCCCCCACGGGGGTCCTGCTCACACGGGCAGAGTCCCACACAGGGATGGCAGGAAGGGCTGGGAGGCTGGGATGTGGCGCTCTGCTCAGGGTCAAGGGTCATGTTCTGGAGGAGGCCGGATTGAGGACCTCGGGGAGAGCAGTCGGCCCCCCTGGGTCATGGAGAGAGGTGGTCAGCCCCTGACTGGGCCGTGGCCAGGAGCCCCCGAGAGAGCTTGTTGGGGGAGGCAGGGCGGCTCAGAGGAGACCTGGGAGATGGAGGAGCAGATGTCAAACTGAGCTCCGGGTCCCCTGGAGGCTTGAATCACACAGATGCTGCCCCCCCCAAGTTTCCAGTTCAGGGAGTTTGCATTTTAACAAGTTCCAGGTGGTGCTGATGCTGCTGGTGGGGTAGGGGACCCCAGCCGAGAATCACTGCTGGGGGGAAAGGGGAGGTCTGGGGACTGTCTTCTGTGGGTGGCCATGGGATGGAGCAGACAGCGGCTGGCTGGGTCCAGAGTTGGAGGTGGATAGAGGGCGAGGCCTCCTCAAAAGCAGTGACCTGAGGTTGTGGAAGGGCTTGTTTGAGAGTGGAGGGTCTGGGGCCTTGGTGACAGCAAGGAGCCCTGCCCGCCTCCCAGTAGCCTCGCCAGCTTACCCCCAGGGTCCCTGATGGATCCCTGCCTTCTGGGTCCCCAGCCTCAAATCCCTGTGAGGGCCCCCAGAGAAAGAGCATGTCATGGAGCTGCAGGTTTCCCTCAGGGCGACAAGCCCGGTTCTGCCCTCGTCCTTGTTGAGGACGCGCCGGCCAGCAGGAGACAGTCAGCGTGCCCTTCCAGACCACGGGTGGGTGGGGCCCTGCTGGGTGCAGGTGGACTATACAGGGCGCTGGACAAACGTCCTCGAACAGATGGGAGGAGCTGGAAGGCTTACACAAAGGACAGGAGGGGAGCAGCTCCAAGGGGGTGTAATCTGTGAAGGTACGGCCCCCCCAGGGGTGTTGGCGTTCTGTCTGTCCCCCGGGGCAGTGCAAAGGCCGGTAAGTGGCATTTCACATCAGTGAGCAATTCCCAAGTCTTCCTTCCGGGATGTCCCTGATGGGGCCACCTACGCTGGCAGGTGCCATTGAGTGTACCTTGGACGGGGTCAGTGCTAACGCAGCCCACACTGGCTGAGCGTGAGTGCACATTGTGGGTCGGGGTTTATGGATATTGCCTTGTTTACTGCTGCCCGGAGAGCATCCGAGCGACTGAGCTTACGCATTTATGACGGCCCCAAGGCCACAGGGCCGTCATAAATGCACTGGAGAGATGAGCGGTGAGGGCTGAGCCCCACCTGCCTGCGGGTGTGGCCTGGCGGGGCCCTCGCTGTCATAGAGGGAAGGACTGACCTGCCCCTCGGGGGCGGGTGATGCTCAGGGCGTGTCAGACAGGACATGATGGGGACACGATGGGGCCCCGCAGCAGGTGCCTGAGCTGACCCGCCACCCGCCACCGCGGACTAACGGCGCCCGGGCCTGTTTCTGGCATTTCCGTAACCGACCAGGCCAAGCAGTCGGTTATTGCTGTTATCCTTCCTCCTCAAGTCTCCAGAATCTGGTTTCTCTAGCAAATGCTTTTGTCGCGACTTTCCACAGGATCACGTGTATTTTGGCTGAAGTGAAACCCTTGAAAAGGCAGATAGACAGGCCTAATTCACTAAGGGCTCTTTCTGATTCATCTCTTTTTTAAAACCGCGTGCAGACTGCCAGTCTCCTCAGGGTGAAATGTGAAAACGATAAAGTCTTAAAAAGCAAAGAGGGGCCAGCCCTGTGGCGGATAGGTTAAGTGCGCACACTCTGCTTCGGGGTCCCGGGGTTCATGGGTTCAGATCCCAGGTGTGCACCGACGCACCACTTGTCAAGCCGTGCTGTGGCGGCGTCCCATATAAAGTAGAGTAACATGGGCACAGATGTTAGCCCAGGGCCAATTTTCCTCAGCAAAAAGAGGAGGATTGGCTACAGATGTTAGCTCAGGGCTAATCTTCCTCACACACACACAAAAAATTAAATAAGTAAATAAAAAATAAAAAGCAAAGAAAAAAATCTAGTTTTGGGGCTTTCCTAGGTCTAAACTGCACGTAAGGAAGCTCATTACTCCTGTCGTGTCCACAGCAAGGGGAATTCCAGACAAGAAAAGGAAGCAAGATGGAAAGCGAGTGTGGACGACGCCCCCAGGACCCCCCAAAGTGCCGAGAGTCCTCCCCTCCCCCCACCTTCCTGCCCTCCTTCACTCGCCAGAGCCCCCAGCTTGTCCTCGGCACAGCTGTGTGGATGCTCACCTGTGAGGGGCACCACGGAGCAAAGGGATTCCCACACGTGGGCAAATACAGAGCCCTGGGCACTTGTGAGAGGGAGAATAACGATCCCACAAAGGTGCCCACATCCTAATCCTGGAACCTGGAGTATGTTACCTGACACGGCAATGGGGGTTACAGATGCAGGTGGAACTAGGTAACTAGTCAGCTGACCTTAAGATGGGTATCATCCTGAATTATCCGGTGGACCCCGTGTGATCACAGAGCCCCTAAAAGTGGAAGGAGAAGGCTGGCAGCGTGTCCCAGAGATGCAGCGTGAGAAAGACTCACTGGCCGTTGCTGGCTTTTCGATGGAGGAAGGGGCCACAAGCCAAGGATCACAGCATGGGAGGGTGGGGGGCAAAGTGCAGGACTCGCCCTACCCATGGGGCCTAGAACACGCTTTGGGGGGCACTTGAATTC